CCATGAAGGATTCTATTGAAATTCAAGGTCCTGGCCCTACCAACGGTCAGCTGTACTCAACGCTCCTCTCCCCTTGCAAGGGCTTGTTGCTGTTGTTGCTGTAAGTGACAGAAACCCAACTCATACTAGCTTACAAAAAGGGAATTTATTGACTTCCACTACTGAAAGGTACAAACACAGATGTGACTTTAGGCCAATGGGATCAGGGATTCAGATCCGTCTCTCTCAGCCTCTCGCCTTTGTTGGTTTTATTTTCAAGCCGCCTCATTGTTGGCCGCCAGCAGCTCCAAGTCTATATTCCATCAGTTTAGCACCCTCAGTGGGAAGAGTGTGTCATGGTTACGTATTGCTACATAATGAACCAACCCAAAACACAAACCATTTCATTGCTCCTGAGTTTGTGGATCAAGAATTTGGGCAGGGCTCAGTAGGACTGCTTCGCGTGGTGTTGGATGGGTGCTTGGCTAGGATCGGAGGATCCAAGATGTCCTTGCACACGTGTCTTAAGACCTCAGTCCTAATGATGGCTGGGCCATCCTGCTTCTCCAAGTGGCTTTTCTCTTCACATGGCCTCTCACCATTCAGTAGTCTAACCCACACTGCTGTACATGGTGGATAGCTTCAAAGAGAACAGAGTGGAAGCTGCCAGTTTTCTTAAGGCCGGGGCCCCACATAGGCAGTGTCACTTCTTTTGCATTTTCTTGATCAAAGAAAGTCACAGGGCCGGCCCAGATTGAACTGGAGGGGAAATAGATTCCGCCTCTTAATGGGAGGAGTGGTAAAGCCACATTGCAAAAGGGCATTTGTGTGGGAGGGATTGTTGCAGCCATCTCTGAAAATAACCCACCAGAGCCCTTCCTGGTTTGGCTCAGTGCAGAGAGCATAGGCCTGCGGGTTCGATTCCAGTCGAGGGCACATGCCCAGGTTGCAGGCTCCATCCCCAGCAAGGGGTGTGCAGGAGGCAGCCGATCAATGATTCTCTCGCATCATTGATGTTTCTATCTCTCTCTCCCTCTCCCTTCCTTTCTGAAGTCAATTATCTATAAACACACCAGGTGCTGGTACCGGAAGAGGGGAAATTGGGTATAAAACTGGTTAAAACAATTGCTATCCACTCCCCAACCCCTGCTCAGAAACCTTCAGTGCCCGTTCTGCCCTGTCAGGTTGCCTACAGTGTGGACTCTACTTGTTCCTCCAGCCTCATTCACACCCCGCTGTCTTTTATCTAAGCTTCCCTTTCACAGTTCTCCAGATAGGCCTGCTTTCTTCTTCAATGTGCCTGCCCTTGGGTGGTCTGCCGCAGTGGTCATGCCTTGCCCATCAGCATGTCCCAACTCTACCTGATTTTCAAGGAAAACTCTAAGAGAGCGACATAAGGAAGACTGGAAAAGGGTGAAGGCCACCTGAAGTGGAGGTAAAGAGATGAGAAAGAGCTGAGGACTCCTCCATTCTTCCAGAAAATCTTCAAGCACCATCAAAATCAATCCCAGTGACCCTTCTAGGGTTACTCTGTCTTATTTCAAATTGGAGACACGAAGATGTTCATTGCAGCATTAACTGTAACAGCAAAAACGAGAAGCCACCCAACTGTCCTGCAGTAGGGAGTGACTTGCAGTGATGAAGATTCTTTCACAGTCAGTGACAGAGCCAGCTCAAACTAGTCTAAGCACAAAAGTGAATTCAGTGGCTTAGGAACCGGGACAGCCAAGGGACTCAAATGAAGTCGGGCTCCCACCCTCTCTTGGCTCAGCTTCCTTTGGGTATGGGGCGCATTTTCTCCCACTATTGACTGGTTTCTCCTATTGTGAGGGCAGAGCGGCCCGGGCACAGATTGCTGCAGACTTACATTATTCCTGCTTTGTGACCTCGGAGGAAAGAGAAAGCTGCTCTTTCCCAAAGGCTCAGGGCAGGGGGCTGTGCTGGCGTGGGCAACTTGCTCATTCTGGGGCCAGTGTCTGTGGCCGGAGCAACGGGTACTGTGATTGACCAAACCTGGCCAGGTGGCCAGGAGGCGGCTGTTGTGGTTGGCTGTCCCACTAGAACCATATGGAGTTGGGTCGGGCATGGAGAGCCTCCTAGAAGACGTTTGCTGCTGTTACTAGGATGGCAACATCTAGCTCAGGGGTCCTCAAACTACGGCCCGCGGGCCACATGCAAATACAAATATTGTATTTGTTCCCGTTTTGTTTTTTTACTTCAAAATAAGATATGTGCAGGGTGCATAGGAATTTGTTCATGGTTTTTTTTTAAACTATAGTCCGGCCCTCCAACGGTCTGAGGGACAGTGAACTGGCCCCCTGTTTAAAAAGTTTGAGGCCCCCTGAAGCTGATGCAGGGTTACATTCCAGGAAAAGGTAGCAGCATTGGAGCTGGGTCTAATCTGCTCCCAACTGGCTTGCCTCCCATTCTAGAGCAACACTGGGCCTTGTGGAGACCTTCGTGATGGCTTCTCCTCCAGCTCTAATGAGAGGGACACTGACCACACCATCTCCTGCTTCAAACCTCAACAGTCTGCAGGCTGGCTGAGGCCAGGCTAGTCCCAGAGCAGAAATGACCTTGATCACCACTCGCCCACTGAGCATCAGCCTTCTCTGACCCTTAGGTCTTCGCGGGGCGGGCACAATGCAGTGGTGGCAGCAGCAATGACAACCCAGTGCCATCTACGGAGCTCAGTTTTGTTTTGGAATTGGATGGGGCACAGCTAAATAGATGGTGATTTGCACAGACTTGAGAAGTCATGGTTTTTATCTTTGTGGTTGCTTTGAGCAGTGGGCCCAATGGGAACTTTTTGCCAGGCGTGTTAGAATCTTCTCAGTGTAGCTCCAAGGAGCTTCTGTTCCTCAAAACATGCTGCCCTGACAGGTAAAAAGCCTCCAGGTGGGTCTGTCTGGGGAAAGAAGAAAATGAAATGAGCTCAGACCTGCCAGGGAGGGCAGGTAAAGGTCCAGGGCAGCCCAACCCATCTAATTCCTCTTCTGCGCACATTCCCGCTCAAGCTTGGGGTGGTTCACGTGGGACCAAGTGCCACTCATGCTCGTAGCTGACAATCACCACTTTTGGTTAATTATCTTAGTGTGTGTGTGTGTGTGTGTGTGTGTGATTGATTTATTGATTTATTTATTTTTAAAATATATTTTTATTGATTTCAGAGAGGAGGGGGAGGGAGAGATAGAAACACCAATGATGAGAGAGAATCATTGACTGGCTGCCTCCTGCAAGCTTCTCACTGGGGATGGAGCCTGCAACAGGACTCGAACAGGAATCAAACCGTTACCTTCTGGTTCATAGGTCAACGCTCAATCACTGAGCCACGCCAGTTGGGCCAGGTATCTTTTTCAATGATATTTCTGTAAGTAGCAAAACTAATAAAGATATTTCCATTTCAGTAAAAACAATACAAAACAGGATTTGTTTGGCTACACATGTGCATCTAGCTTTCTCGATAGGGTCTCAGGCACTTTTGGAGAGAGATTTACTTTCCTAGGAAACACAAAAGGATCTAGACCTAAAGGCTTGGAGGTTAGGTGCCTGGTCCTGGTGTGTGTGTGTGTGTGTGTGTGTGTGTGTGTGTGTGTGATGGGAAACTGGTGGAATCAACAGAATTATGGAAATGATCTGTACAGAAGGGGAGTCAGGGAAGGAGTAGACTGTGGGGTTCAATTTGGTTCAATTCATCAAATATTAAGCACTATTATAACCTGACCCTGTTCCAGAACTTTGGCGTGTATTAGTGAATAAAACAGATAAAGATTAGGAAGCTCAATTTCTAATGTAAAAGGCAATTAACTATATATGTGACAATTTAATAATAAACTACTAGTATATGGTATGTTATAATGAATGATAGCTATGCGGGGGAAGAGAGGTCCAAAATGTGGTGTGAGGTTGTGGGCTGCAACTGTAAAGAATGGGGCAGCAGGCCTCATTGAGAAAGTGAACTTTGAGCAATGAGTTAAAGGAGGTGATGGGCTGATTCGTCCATGTGGATGTCTTGGGAAGGAGGGTTCCATGCAGAAGACACAGCCCGTGCAAAGTCCCCGAGGCAGCAGGGTGCCGGAGAGGAGAGTTTATTTATTTATTTTTATTTAAAAAAAATATATTTTATTGATTTTTTACAGAGAGGAAGGGAGAGGGCTAGAGAGTTAGAAACATCAATGAGAGAGAAACATTGATCAGCTGCCTCCTGCACACCCGCTACTGGAAATGTGCCCGCAACCAAGGTATATGCCCCTGACCAGAATCGAACCTGGGACCCCTCAGTCCGCAGGCCGACGCTCTATCCACTGAGCCAAACTAGTCAGGGCATGGAGAGGAGAGTTTAGGTCGGAGGGAAAATAGTCCAGGGACTTGTTGGTCATTGTAAGGACTTTGGCTTTTACTCTGAAGAAAAAGAGGTTAAAACATGTTTTTTTCCAGCTTTCTGGCTTTCCTTCCCTGTGTCTTGTTGGTGTGTGTGTGTATGTGTGTGAAGGTCTGGCAAAGGCAGGCACCTGGGTGTGGGCAGAGGCACGGGCAGGTCACAACTGCCCTTCCCATCTTCCTCCCATTACCCTACTTCTCAGCCTGGGGTGTGGCTCACTCCACGCCCTCAGATGTTTTTATGACACACCCCCAGCCCTGGAACTCAGCTGCTCAAGCATAGAGCAAATTAGAGGTGAGAGAGACCCTACTCTTCGCCCCCACCCCGCCCCCGCCCCCGCCCCCAGGGGCACTGACTGCCAGCCAATCAAAGCCTCCCAGTGGGACAGAGGAAGTCAGAGGCTGGGACCAGAGAGACCGTGATGGAGAATGGCGAGCAGGCAGGGGGCCCAGCAAAGTCATATCCTCCTGAAAGAGACAGATCTCAGATCTTCCTCTCCACCTCCACCCTCACCCCCATCCCTTCTCCACACTCACACACATACACACACACACACTCACGCCTGACACAATGGCCGGGTGGGGCTGAGGAACTGGCTTCCTCTGCTGAGATCTCAATCTGGGCCCTCAGTTCCCGCCCCAGAAACCCAGGAACAGACACTCGGAGACCTGGCCCCGCACTCCTTGCTCCAAGGGGCAGGCAGGACAGGTTGAAAATAGAAACCACTTCCAAAAAGATAAAGGTAAATTCAGGGGGAGCTATTGCAGAGTTGGGGGGGCGGGGGAGGGGCCCCTTGGTGTGACACAGTGGGTCGGCTCACACCCGGGGAACAGGCTGGAAGCCATGGTGACAGGCAGCCGGGCGAGGTGTGGGAGAGGTGGTCAGGCAGGCCGCCAGGAGCACACGCACCATCCCTCAGCTGAGCCAGAGGTGTCAGCCCAGCCCCGTGCCACTTTCACCCCATCCTCACCCCACCCCTATTCACCTCCAGCCCGGGAGCCCCCCTCTGCACAGCAATGCCGACAGGACGTGCACATACAGAGTAGCCGGCGGTCCACACCCCGGTTTCAGCCTTTCCCCAGGCCCTGTGAACCTCAGAACCCCGGGACACGGGTCCATCACATCTTCCAGAGCCCCGGTGTGCGCATGTGGAGTGCGGTGTGGTTTGGGGGGGTGTCCGGTGGGAGGAGGATTTGATTCCTGTTTCCTGCTCCTACTCACTCGGCCCTAGGAGGTGACTGAGAGTGGAGAGGACTCGAGGGTGAGTGCTCGGGCCCCATACCTGGGTCCCTGTGAGAGGCTGTGTGGGGGGTGGGAGAGGAAGTGAACAGCAAACAAGGTACCTGAGAAGGGCGGGACCCCCGGGCGGGCAAAGCTGGGGAGGAGCGGGCCAGCCAGGGAGGCCACTGCCTGGGTCATGTTGATAAGGGGCTTCCTGCCAGGATACAGAGGCCATTGAGCGGCAAGGCTCACAGTCTGCGGCCCAGGCCCCCACCCTGCCTCACTCCTCAGGAACCCAATCTGGTGCTTGGGGCGGGGGTGGGGGGGCCTGACTCTCCTGCTGACTCCTGAGGGGAGTTGGGGCTCACCCCTGTCTCCCAGCCCTGACCCTGTGGTCCTCGCAGGATTATGGCCTCCTTCCCAGGGGGAGGAAGTGGAGCCCAGGTCCCCATGCTCTGGCCTCCTCACCACCCTCAGGCATCCCGGCAGGACCCAGGCTCCCCCTGGGGCCCCTTTCCCTGTGACCCGATGGCGGGATGGGGCGGGCAGGGGTAAGAGGACGGGGCAGGAGAGACCATGTCCGGGGCCTCCTGGTCTCTTGGGGTCAGAGGCTCCAGGAATCTTTACGGCAGGAAAAGGAGACTAAAAATAATCCGGAAAGGGAGAGTCCGGAGAGAGGAACTGGGAAATGGGGGGCGGAGGGCCGGCGGGAGCAGGGAAATAGTGATGCAGCCCCACCGCCAGCGCGGGCGTGCGTGTGCGCAGACACTCACACAGGGCGAACGTCCCCACAGACAGCACAGAGCACATCCACCCTCGAACCCTCTCCCACCACACTCCGTTCCCGGCATTCCACTCTCCCCCTGCATGCCACCCCTTCATATAGCACTGGGAACAGCACACACACACTTAAACTACACTCACAACCTTCGCACGCACACTCTATGGACACACACACACAACTCATCAAGCCGAGGCGGTGTGGCTAGACTGGCAAGCTCAATTCCCCTTCCCATCCCCTCCTCTTGTGCCCCCTCCCCTGCCTTGGGTCTCCGCTGGGGCACCCCCACCCTAGCCTCACTGTCTCCTCCATCCAGACTGTGGCTGCAGAAGCTACAGGCCAGAGAAAGAGAGGCTGGGGGCAGGGGGGGCGGGGGGGGCGGGGAGGAAAGGCTGCCTGGGAGGGGCGAGGTGAAGAGAGAAGACTGGGAATGAGCAGGGAGAGGAAGCACAGCCGCCTCCCCTCCTGGCGAACAAGCTCTGCTTAGAGCAGTGGTTCTCAACCTTCTGGCCCTTTAAATACAGTTCCTCATGTTGTGACCCAACCATAAAATTATTTCCGTTGCTATTTCATAACTGTCATGTTGCTACTGTGATGAATCGTCATGTAAATATCTGATATGCAGGATGGTCTCAGGCGACCCCTGTGAAAGGGTCGTTCGACCGCCAAAGTTGTGACCCAACCATAACATTATTTTCGTTGCTACTTCATAACTGTCATGTTGCCACTGTTATGAATCGTCATGTAAATATCTGATATGCAGGATGGTCTTAGGCGACCCCTGTGAAAGGGTCGTTCGACCGCCAAAGGGGTCGCGACCCACAGGTTGAGAACCGCTGCCTTGAGGCGTCGTCTACGCAGGGCAGGCCAGGGGGTGCCACTGAGGGTCTCTCTCTCTTCTCCCTCCCTCTTCCTCAGGGGATGACTCCAGCAGAGCCCCCCACTCCTTTGAAAAGCTCAAAGGAAGATGTCAGACCAGTCTCTTCCTATAGCAACACCCCCTACCCAGAAGCCCCCTCGGATCATCCGCCCGCGCCCCCCCTCTCGACCTCGGGCTGCCCAGTCCCCTGGGCCCCCCCACAACGGCTCTTCTCCTCAAGAACCTTCTGGCACCTCCAATGATGCGCCGACCCCAATGTGCTCCCCCATCTTCTGGGAACCCCCCGCCTCTTCCCTCAAGCCCCCTGCCCTGCTGCCCCCTTCCGCTTCTAAAACCAGCCTCGACTCTCAGGCCTCCCCAGACTCCCCTCCCAGCACCCCCAGTCCAGTGTCCCGGCGCTCCATCTCCCCAGAACCCGCACCCAGGTCTCCAGTGCCCCCACCCAAACCCTCCGGGTCACCCCGCACGCCTCTGCCCCTGCCGCACCCAGCCCCCCGGGGCCAAGCCCAGGATGGCCCTGCCTCTGCCCCAGGCACTGTGCGGAGACTGGCTGGCAAATTCGAGTGGGGGACTGAGGGCCGGGTCCAGGCTGCACAGGCTACGGAGCCGGCTCCCCAGGGGGGCGTGGATGTGAATGGGGAGAGAGAGGCTCTCCGGGGCAGCCTCAGGAGAAGGGGATCCCAGGAGAACGGCCCACCGGGTAAGCATTTCATGGGGCGAGGGGGGGCTCAATCCAGCTCCTCTTTTATTGTTTTCAATGGTTCAAGGCTGGGTCCTTTCAGGGGCTACCTTTTAAACACTGGATTTTACGTTTGGAAGATCTGATTTCCATATTTCTGGGAGTTTGAAGAGAGTCCGTGTTGAAGAGTAGATGCCTGGGGCTGGGCCATGTTCAGCTGCCGGGCAGGTTAAGGGGAAGCACCCTGGGCAGCGTGGGCCAAGGGTCTTTTCCTTAGGACACCTCGTCTCCCACAGATGCTGCCCAGGCCTGTCCGCCCTGCTGCCCTTGTGTCTGCCACGTAGCCCGGCCTGGCCTGGAGCTCCGGTGGGTCCTTGTGGGGGGCTATGAGGATGGTCCCAAGGCCCTCTGCCGAGCGTCCCCACTGCGGGCCTCCCGCTCCCGCCCCAACCCTCCCAGCATCAGTCACCCCTCAGTGGTCCTCACGTCTTACCGCTCCACTGCTGAGCGCAAACTCCTGCCACCTCTCAAACCCCCAAAACCAACTCGGGTCAGGCAGGACCCCACCATCTCAGGGGACTCCCCACAGCCAGATCTCCGTCCGCCCTCTGAAGATGGAAGCCAAACAGGTACAGGGCCTGGGAGAGTGGGTCCTTTGGCTGGGAGGGGAAGGGGTGGAGGGGTAGCGGTCTACAGATGAACAAACTACAACCCCCAATAGGTCCTGAGTTTGTTTTGTTTCTCCGCCAGCGGCAGCTCCAGGGCTGATGGGAGTTGTAGTTTTTATGGTGACAGTCTCTGCTGGGGCAGGAGTCGGGAGTCGGGTGGGGATTCTGGGGATTTATTCTCTTCACTCTGGGCTCTCTCTCTAGGGAACAGTCCAGATGAAGCCCCTCAGAATGATGCTCCAGCAACCATGGAGGGCAGGTACCAACAACCCTCCCCGCCTTACTCCTACCTGAGGGCAGACTCTGCAGGTCCTGCTAAGTCCCCCCTCCACAAAGGTGGAGTGAAGGCGGCCTGGGGCTCTAGAGACAAGCAATCCCAGCGCTGTCCCCTATCAGCTCTGTGACCTTCTGTAAGTCACTTAACCTTTCCGGGTCTCAGGCTCCTCATCTGTGAAATGGGGGTAAGCATACCAACCACTTCATCGACTATAACATTGGTGAAGAACCGGTCCCTAGTAAGTGCTCCATTTTAGTTCCCCACCTTATGCCTCTATTGTCATTATCTCTTCAGTGTCGTCTGGGCTAGTTAATGATCTTAGATTCCCCATCACTATCAGAGTTCACCTGAGCCCATTCATTCATTCAACAAGCATTTACTGGTGTTTGCTCTCCTGGGGTTTTAGCTTGGGGGAATGGGTATGTGGTAACCAGAACAGGAGGGACAGAGCTGCGGGCGGGCGAAGGGGAGGTGTGAGTTTGGGTTTATCATGCTGAGTCTCACGGAGCCACAGAGAGGACATTTCAGATGGTGGTTGCTATGTGCGAGGGCTGGAAAGGTAAAGACCTGGAAGTCTCTGGTACACAGCATTGAGATAACGGGCGGAGATGGAGCCCGCTGAGTCGGGGCCTCCCATACAACAGGCACATAACAATATCTGGGGTTTGGTCTGGGGAGCCGCTAGGGTCCCTGCACACAACCTTACACTATCATGTGGCTAGCGCCCCTGGAGGTGTGCAGCAGGGTTGGCTCTGGGGGACTCCATCCCTTCTTCTCTCCACAGGGATGAGGGCCTGAAGGAGCTGAAGGAGCAGAACTGGGAGGTGCCCCTGCAGGATGGTGAGGCCTCTGGGCTTGGGGGTCCCTGCAGTGACCCTCAGGCTGGGAGAAGGGCTCTGGAAAATTAAAGACGTATGGGTATGAATGAGGTACACTGCAGTGCTGGGCTGGTGTGGTAACGGCTCTAGGACTTGGTAAGCACCCCGGGCAGGAGGGTGGCTGGGTCCACGGCAGGCTGGGAACTGAGCTTTCCACGTCCCCCTGCCCTTCCTGCGCAGAGCCTGTTCGAGGTGGTGACCTCCGAGGCCTCCTACCTGCGCTCCCTGCAGCTGCTGACCGACACCTTCGTGCTGAGCCAGGCGCTCCGGGACACGCTCACCCCCCGCGACCACCACACCCTCTTCTCCAACGTGCAGAGGGTCCAGGAAGTCAGCGAGTGGTCAGTGGGGTGCTGCCCTCTCAGCCAACGGAGCGCCCCTTAACTTGCAGCCTGTCCCAGGGCCCCTGGCTCTCTGCCTCCCTTCGCCGACGGCTCCCCCCCTCTGCCCCCTGCAGGTTTCTCGAGGCGTTGCTGACCCCACATCAACGACCTTTGCGACGTGGTGCATGCCCACGCTGTGGGCCCTTTCTCCGTGTACGTGGATTACGTGCGCAACCAGCAGTACCAGGAGGAGACCTACAGCCGCCTGATGTGAGCTCCAGGGCAGGGGCCAGGTCACACCTGTGGGAGCCCGGGGTGCAGGGGGGCGTCCAGGCCCGGGCAGGCGGGGGACCGGGCCTCCAGGCCCACTCCAGCGGCCTGGGCTGCTTCTGCAGGGACACGAACGTGCGCTTCTCCGCGGAGCTGCGCCGGCTGCAGAGCCTCCCCAAGTGTGAGCGGCTCCCGTTGCCGTCCTTCCTGCTGCTGCCCTTCCAGCGCATCACGCGGCTCCGCATGCTGCTGCAGGTACCGTGGGGCCGGGGCCTCTCCTGCCCCGCCATCGCCATCTCCCACCCCGCCGTGAACACAGGGCTTCCCTAAATCAGACCCCATCGGGGCCTCTCAGTCCAGGACCCGCCAGACTCTGCCTGGAGCTACTCAAATGTCTCAGGGAGCAGGCTGGGTGCAGGCAATGAACCTCTGGCTAGAGGCAGGAGTTCTCGAACTGGCTGGTTGACCTTGGGCAAGTCCCTGTCTCTCTCTGGGTCTCAGAGGGAATGTGGTGGCCACCTCAGCTGTACCTCTCACTGCATACCTCCCCAGTGGGGTGATATCACGCCCAGGGAGGCAAAATTGATTCTTTGGGAGGTAAAAAATATCCTAAATATTCCAATGGTTGTGGTACTTCAAAGGGCCCTGCTACATAAAAGATGAACAGCATAGCTGTGGTATGAAATTTCTAAAAAGGCTCCTGAGCTGGGTGATACTGAATTTAAAAATAAAAGGTTGAGCCGAGACCGGTTTGGCTCAGTGGATAGAGCGTCGGCCTGCAAATTGAAAGGTCCCGGGTTCGAT